TTTAGGGTTTTGGGTTTAGGTTTTTAGGTTTAGGGTTTAGGGTTTAGGGCTTAGGGTTTAGGGTCTGGGGTTACAGTGGAAGCCAGAAAGTTGGGGCATCATTATATGCCCTTAAGGTGAAGCATAGGGAATCCCACCAATCCTCCTAAAACCATGTTCCAACTTTCTGGGGTTCACTATGCGGGTCCATGGTTTAGGGTTTGGGCTCAGGGTGTCGGGTTTGCGGCTGTAGGGTTTGGATGTTGTGGATCCTGTTGTATCAACCTCATGAAAGTGATATGGGGAAGTGTATCAGCATAAAGGGATATTAAAACTGAAAATTCAGACAGCGACATGATGGTTTTTAAACTATAACCCCTGAACCCTAAACCCTAAACCATAACTATACTGAACTCAGACCCCTAGCAAACATTATAAATTTTAGCTGCTTCTTAGGGTTTATAGTAGCCAAAGATTAAAAAAATATTTCTAAGTACCCCTAAGCCTAAACCATAAGGTTGAAGGATTGCGGTTTAGGGTTGGTTTTGGGTAGGGTTTAGGGTTTAGGGTTTAGGGTTTAGGGTTCATAGGGCTTCGGATTTTCAGATTTGTGGGCATAGGGCTTTGCGGGTGTTGGGGTCCAAGGCTCAAGGTTTTAGGGAGTCTGGGCCTCTATGGAGCCTGGCGCAGGGTTAGGTTAGGTAGCTTATTCCTAACCCCTAAACCCTAAACCCTAAAACCCTAAAGCCCTAAAACCCTAAAACCCTAAAACCCTAAACCCTAAACCCTAAACCCGGGCTCAGAGTTTGGAGTTTAGCGGTAGGCCTGAAGTGCATCATCCAACAGTTCCCCACCTTGCTCCAAGATTGGGGAACCGACAGACTGGCAGTGACGAGTCACCCCGACCCACCAGTTGGAAAAGGGTTTAGGGTTTAGGGTTTAGGGTTTAGGGTTTAGGGACCTAAGTCTGGCTCTGTGTCGTCGACCTCTAAATAATTACCTATACTATTGGGGGTTCCTTACTATGATTATGGTATAATGGGCCCCAAAACCCTATTCTAATTATTAAGGCTCCTATATTACAGTCATCGTTGACCTGGTATTGACATTAGCATTACTACCATGCAGGACACCCAAAAACCGGTCCCGTGCCCAAGCATTGCAAGTGTTCATCGCCTGCTTCACCCGCGCCGCACCTTGAGAAGCGTCAGCACGCTTCGTTGACTCGGCCATGCATCTAGCAGTTCATCTCGGCCAACCAGCGCCGCAATCTCGCGAGGGACACCAGCAATAGTTGAGGGGCCCAGCGGAGCACGAAATGCAGCTTCTGAGCGACGAGCTGTGGCATTTCCCATACACTTTGAACTTGAAGTAGCGAGCCGTCCATTTGCCCAGAACGTTGGATCGCATCACCGCGCCCCCTCTCCCTTTGCGTACCGAGCTCATAGCACGGGGCTCGGGAGTCTGCAGTGGTTCAAGGCTTGGCTAGCCAGGGTTTCAGTGCTCCAAAAGAAAGCCTTAATGCTTCGAATAGGGTTTGGGGGTTGTGGTGTATATTGTAGACCAACTGTATGGGGGACTCTAAGAAAATACTACAATGTATCAGCTACTCATTTTGCCGACCCCTTTTGGGTTGCAGGGCCGGGGGCTTCAGGTGTAGAAAGGTTTAGGGTGAAAGTCGGCTGGCGAGATGCATCCAATCTAGGGGCCTTTGACTTGAGGTGTCTTGATATGGTTCTTAAGCGGTGTACTATAGGGGCCCAAATAGCTACCAATACTATCTTGGGGCTCCCTATCATAATTATAGTAGAATATACCCCCCCAAACCCTGTTCGAATCATTAAGGCCCCTACGGTGTAGAAGTTTCCTTCCTAACAGGGTTTTGGTTGGGCTTTGGTCTGGTATGGGAGCCTTCATAGTTCGAACAGGGTTTTGGCTATGGTGGGATATCACAAGTACATCATAGGTTTAGGGTTTAGGGTTTAGGGTTTAGGGTTTAGGGTTTAGGGTTTAGGGTTTAGGGTTTAGGGCATACTCTTCAGCCCCTCTTTGTTGCAAGGTACCGGTTACCAATACTCGTAAACCCTTGCGGAACCCTTTTACGACCCTCACAGGAACCCTGCACGAAGCCCTTGACGGGGATATCATTACTAGCTACTCAGACCCTAAACCCTAAACCCTAAACCCAAAAGCCTGAGCCCGAGACCCGTATGGATGCGGCATGGGGTATATTCCAGCATGCTTTTAATATACTAAATTTATCTCAATAGGAACCCTTTTATTCATGGGTATATTATTATAACATCTTTATCTTCATAGGAACCCTTTTATTCACGGGTATATTAACCCTAATATCTTTATCTGCATAGGAACCCTTTTGTTCATGGGAACCCTAAACCCTAAACCCTAAACCCTAAACTTTTGCTCATGGGAACCCTAAGGCCGAAAGGAAGAGTGATAGTAATTTAGGGATTAGGGTGTCGGGTTTAGGGTTTAGGGTTTAGGGTTTAGGGTTTAGTGATAGTAACTGTGGCGACCCCTGTCTTGGAGTTGCGAAGGCGGTGGCTGTCAAGTCCGTTTCAGGGTGTGGGTCGTTAAAGTTTGAGTACTGTCCACACAGGGATATGGCCCTAAACCCTAAACCCTAAACCCTAAACCCTAAACCCTAAACCCTAAACCCTAGACCCCTAGAATCCCGAGAAGCCATAAACTCTACAAGCCTAAAGCCCTAAGCCCCTAAGTCCCAAAGCCCAGAAACCCTACAAAAAAGAAGCCTTCTTGCTCAGCACCCCGCCACAAACGTCCCAGGACGGTCTCGCGGAGGCTCTCTGCGTGGCGGCCGTCGTGGTTTTGAAGCACCTGGAACTCCAACTCAGCGAGCATCTACGACTACGTTTTTGTGGAGATCTGAATGATAAGGCCCCCGGTCCTTGAGTTAGGATCCCTTTTCTAATTCATCCATACAAAGGGAAGGGGGTTAAGCAAATCAGAGGGATCCTGATGTTGACGCCCTGTTTTGCCCTGCCCGCTTCCCCACCACCGGCCACTCATCTACCCTGGCTCCATGAACACTCCTGTGGACTTAGAACTAAAAATACCAATAACAATCGTCATAGTAATAGTCATCATAATCATAGTAACAACAACAGCAGTAACAACAATAACAATAACAATAACAAAACCACTCGTAACAATCACAGTAATAATCATGGTAACTATCACAGTACTACGCTTGATGACATAAATCCTCCATTACCCACAATGAGGAATATACCATAATCCCCATAGTTTAGGGTCCTTACGGTAATGCAGGATTTATATCATCGACAGAAGGGTCATATGGGGCCTAAAAGTTCGACAATAATCTTCCTTATTCGGGTTTAGGCTTTATAGGTGTGACATAAGCTCATATTATTAGTACTATGTTAGGCACCATGATTATTACTGTTGCTGCTATTACTTAGTTGCTGAGTTCATAAGCCCGAAAAGGTGTACACTTTCAGTTCCATAGGCGGTCATACTATCCCAAAAAGTGTAAAGTGTACCCACTCAGCTACTAAGATTATAACAACAACAACCCTAAACCCTAAACCCTAAACCCCCCCAAAATTCCCTAAACAATGGCCAACCGTACCGTCTACACGGCTCTCACTCCGACTCTCTTCGGGGAAGGCCAAAGCTTGGACTTTTCCTTTTGGTTCCCCGCTGTTCTGGGGGTTTAGGGCTTGGGGTTTAGGGTTTAGGGTTTTAGAGTTTGGGGCTTAGGGCTTTAGAGTTTGGGGTTTAGGGATTTAGAGTTTAGGGTTTAGGTTGTATTTGTGCCTCTGTCTGTATACCTCGATTGTCGAGGCCCTATGCAGTGCCTTGGTATGGCACTCCGCGCTTGATTCTGGCTCCAGTTGATCACTTCTGTGGTTCTAGAGGAGAGTTTCAGAAAACGTGGGACGCTGATGATATGGACCCTGAATGATACCATCCTGATGTCGGAGTCTACAATAGAGGCCTAAATAAAAACCAACACTACTTTGGGGGTTCCCTTTTTAAATTCTAGTATACATGGGCCCCAGACCCTTAGTCGAATTATTAAGGCCCCTATGTTAAATAATACCATCCTGATGTCGGAGCCTACTTATGAAGGACCCTAAACCCTGACCTCAAAACCCAAAACCCTCTGAGAAAAGCCTCGACCATCTTCTCCGACGCTTGCACGCATTGGTACCTCAGAGCTGGAAGGCCCTGAATCAACTTCTCAAAACGGTTTAGGGTTTAGGGTCTAGGGGTTTAGGGTTCAGGTGTTTAGGGTTTTAGGGTTTAGGGTTTAGGGTTCAGGTGTTTAGGGTTTAGGGTTTAGGGTGGTAATGTAGGGGCCTTAATAATTAGCATAGGGGTTTTAGGGCTCCTTTTATAGTATACTTATAATGAGGAACCCTAAGGAATAGTATCGGTAATTATTTAGGCTTCAACATTACTCAAAGGATCCCGCACTAAGTAAGTAGCCGATGGGGCTTGGGCACATGTCTCCGCCTTTGCAATGTGTTGAATTTCTAGAAAAAGCCCTCAACATATTTCAAAGTCGGGGTCCTATGTTAAACAACTGATCTCAAACCGGTAGCTAGTATCTCACAAGCTGAGGGGAGCGCGACGTAGAGCACAGCGCTTTACAGGGGTTGTGTTAAAGGGTTCTTCATCATCAGCTGCCACAAACCTGACGATTTAACAGAGTCGTTGACACGCAGTAAGTAGCTCCAGATGTTCGAAGTAACGAGTGACCAGCGGTGCAAGACGTAATATAGGGGCCTTAACAATTAGACTAGGGTTTTGGGTCCCAATATACTACAGTTTGTAATAAGGCACCCCAAAATAGCAAAGGATATTTATTTAGGCCCCTATATTAAACGAAGTTTACAGCTTACAAACCCTCTGGCATG